GATGTCAGGAAGGGTTAGGCCCCGTTCGAGAAGTTCGACGTATCCGAAAACCATCGTGAAAAAGATAGACATCAGAACACAACAATGTGTGCATGAGGTGTGGAAGAGGGAGAGTTTGCAGCTCCGTAGTATCGATGATAAGGAGGTAACGATCGAAAAGATGGTTGTAGTTGAAAAGGGTGGTGTTAGAGCACGAAGATTTGGTTAAGAGGCGATGGATGTCTCTGGAACTCCAAAGGTTGATAGGTTGTGTCGAAGTACGAAGATTGGATTAAGAGGCGATGGATGTCTCTGGAACTCCAGAGGTTAATAGGTTGTGTGGAAGGGTGATGGAGTGGGTTTGAAATGTTGTATTTATAGTTAGGGTTTGGGTTGTGTAGGTGTAAATGAAGTGGTTTTGGTCTTGAAGGGTTATGGGTGGGGTTGGATCTGAATTTTGGGTGAATTGGGTTATGAAGTTCAATGGTCTTTACTCATTTTTGTACATATTAAATGGTGTTGTTAGGTTTAAATGGGCTATAAAAAATTGCCATTTTTTCTATAATAACTTTTGTTTTAATATTATCAAAATAAATCTAAAAAAATTTAATTGTGTTTTAATAATCATAACTCGTTTTCCTATAAAAGAAAGTTTTATGAAAGGACATTTAAGAAATAACATTTTTGTATATGGATTTTGTGTGGTAAATAAAAACTGATTAATGTATACGCTGGTTTGATTTTTAACAATTCAAATGGGTTTATCAAGCTACAGTCAACATGTATATATTTAATTTAAAATGCTGCCCAATTAATTTGAACAAATTGATTAATGTAGCATTCTTAAATTAGGTAATGTAGGTCCATTATATTAACATAATGTGATTCTAAAGCTATTTATATATTTTCATTTGTTGACATAAATTGTAGATCAAAATGTTGATAAAACCCTGATCCTTTGCCTCATCGCAACAGATCAACTAATGTTTTCGTCCACATAACAAATGGTACATCTGACTTTAAAAATTGAAATTTTACAATTTAATAATCTTAATGAAATTTAAATTATTGTGATTTGTTAAAATTATTATTTGCATTTACAGTTTCTCATTTGCCATTTAATTCTTCTCTGTGTATGAGGACAATTAATGTCAATCACGAAGAGCAATCTTCAGATATGCGCCTTCAAAGAGTGATGACCAAAATACGTGTGATCCAGTATCAACGTAGATGCAGGATGTACTTTCGTCACAATCACATCAGGTTAAAGGTGGGATCATCATTATGATTATTTTTTCATTCCAATTTTTATTTTTTAAAATTTGGTTAACCGACTACTTTCTTCACATTAACTTATTCTGAGATTACTTCAAAACTTCGTTTTCGACCTAGACACAAAAAGTGTGAAATAATGCGATCTTGGCGACCCATCACATAATTGTGCGCACTGTGAAGCAGTGTTTTGGTTGAGGAGAGGACACTTCAAAGTTCTACTAAAAAGTCCCAAGTATTCTCTATGTTGTAGGAAAGGGAAAATTACTTTGCCAAAACTAAAGAAGTCCCCGACCTCAATTGTATGATTTGATTCACGGGATAAATTTAAGAAGTAAACACTTCCAGGATAATATCGGCTCATATAATAGTATATTTTCGTTTGCATCCATGGGTGGGAGGATAGATAAGACGATTAACAAGGGTGGCTCACCGCCAATTTTTAAACTAGGTGGTTAGAATTATCATCTAATAGGATCCCTAATGCCAAAAGAAGGAAGTGTGCCAAAATTTGCCCAACTATATATATGTATATATATATATATATACACACACACTCCGTATGAATATATGATACACAAAATGAAGATATGATCCGATTGAGTTTCTATTAGGAACGATACCAAAAAACAATATGCACACAAATATCATATATATTTGAAGGGGAATGTTAGATGCACATAATGTTTTAATTTGGTGAAGTCATTTATGATGGTTAGAGACAAGATCGCTTAAGGTGGTGAGACAAAAGTGAGTTTGAAGTTAATAGGCAGGAGAAACAAAGACGCTAGAACTTATAATCTGCCTACAGTTTCAGAAGTAGCAGCTTTGGTTGTCAGAGACTTTGATGAATCACGTGGAGAAAGAGATATAATGGTTGAAACCTGATGAGGTCTTTTGAAGCGTATAAATGAATTGAATCCTTCATATTTGGGGTTGCAGTATCCACTCCTCTTTCCATTTTGGGAAGATGGTTATATGGGGATATAAACTTTTGTGACGTGAATAGTTCGAATATAAGGGTTCGCCGGAGAGTTGGGATTGTAGATTTTTAGCATATAGATTGCATGAGCGGGGCACAGAATGTACTTTCATCCTTCAAAGTAGAAGACTGTTCCAACACGTGCAACTCAGAGTGACCATAAATTGTCAAAATCCTCAACAAGAGAAACTTGAGTCCTGAAGATCGACCCGATATAATATGTGGTGTTTTCAAAATAAAGTTGGATGGATTGATTAAAGATCTACGACATAAGAATACATTTGGTGAAGTGCGAGCAAATATTATTATAGGGACATCATTTTTTTTTCAATTTATTATAATATTATAATTTATAATGTCATGTACAACATAGTAATGTTATAAAATAACATAGATTTCTAATTTTTACAGTCATATACACAATGGAATTCCAAAAGCGTGGTCTTCCCCACACTCACATTTTGTTATTCATAGGAAGTGCTAACAATTTTTCCAACCCCAGCGGACATTGATGGCATCATATCTGCTAAAATACCTGATGGGTCGAATGATCTAGAGTATTATAATGCAGTACATATGGACCATACGGTAATGATGCAAAAATGCTCCGTGCATGGTATTATCGATGTGTTCAAAGCACTTTTCCAAAAACTTCAATGATTAAACAACTATTGACGATGAAGATTATCCCAAGTATAGAAGGCGCGACGATGGAAGAACATTTGTCAAAAAAGGAGTACACCTTGACAACATATATGTTGCCCCCCACAGTAGGTCTTTTACTCTTTAAGTACAATGCTCACCTAAATGTGGAGTGGTGTAATCAAAGCAGGTCAATCAAACATTTGTTCAAATACGTCAACAAAGGACATGATCGTGTGACCACGAGATTTTATGAGATTTGTAATAAAGAGAATAGTGAGAAACATGTTGATGAAATAAAACTACATTATGATTGTAGGTATATACCTCCTTGTGAGGCCATGTGAAGAATATTTGGGTTCAAAATTTAGTATAAGAATCCATCCATTGAACGATTGAGCTTTCACTTTCTCAACGAGCAATATGTTTATTTTGAAGATGATGCAGCAATGAGTGATGTTGTGTTGCATGAATCTGTAAAGAAAAGTATCTTTTTGACATGGATGAGAGCGAATCAACTGTATCCGGAGGCAAGAGATTTAACTCACGCTGAATTTCCTCAAAAGTTTGTATGGAAGACTACATGTTGAGAATTTATCCATCGCAAAAGGGTTTTGCTATAGGTCGATTGACACATGTCCTTCTAGATTCAAGTGAATCTTATTATTTATGACGCATCCTTAATTTGAAGCGTGAGACTACATGCTATGATGATCTAAGAACTGTCGATGGGATTTGTCATTGTACATATCATGATGCATGTTACACATTAGGATTGTTAAATGATGACAAAGAGTATGTTGATAGAATTTTTGGAGGTAGTTTTCGGGGAAGCGTATATAGTACAGCCAGCTGTACGGTTCTCACCATACAGCCGATGACATTTTTGTAAATTACATAAAATTTGCGTCTTGTACTAAATGAGCATTAAAACACGTCTAGTGAGCATGTGACATATTTTCTTGAGCATTAGAAGCATAACAATGAGCATCGTGATCTCTGCTTCATTTCTTCTAATTTACTTTCTTTTCCTTATTTTTTTCTTTATACAAACTTGTTAAATTATATATATAATCGACTCTTATGAACTTCAGTATGCGAATTTAATGCAATATGATACTTTTGAAATATGCATTGTCATGCCATTTTACAAATGAGCATAACATGAATACCCGTTGAACATACATAACTTATAAAATGAGAATTGATATGAAAATCATAAGTACTTTTAATTGAACATCAAGACACTTTTATTGAGCATCAACTTGAAATTATAAGTACCAATGATTTTTATTATGCGATTGTGATGAGCATCAAGTCTGTTCTTTTTAAATGAGCATAAAATAACATCAAATGAGCATATGTAACTTACAAAATGAGTATCAAAAAATTTAAAAGCTCATTTGTGTATGGTCATTCATTTTGACCTTATACTCATTTGCGTTTAACATTAGTATGATACATTTGAAATGAGCATAAAGAGGTACCAAATGAGTATACATATCTCACAAAATGAGTATAAAAAATTCAAAAGATCATTTATGTATGCTCATTCATTTTCGGTTTTATACTCATTTGAGTTTGACATAAAACTGATTTTTAATATGCTCAATATTCATTTGTGTATGGTCATTCTTTTTAAGCTTATACTCATTTGAGTTTAATATAAACCCATTCCAGATTCGTCATCAAGAAATATGAACTCAAATCTCCTAAATCATCTTCTAATCTGTCTTCCCTGCATACTTCTTCCCGACCAACAAAGAAATTGCCTAGAGTCGCCGTCTCTTGCGCAGCTCTGCAAGAGGAGAAGAGAGTGGCGAGAGGAGAGCTTGAGGAGAAGAGAGCTGCCAGAGGAGTGGTCTGCTTGATGCGTGAAGTCCTTCGCAAGCAATGCAGAAGTAGGAGCGAAGATCGGAGAGCAACGCAGAATCAGTGACGAAGATCGGAGAAGCCGGACGAGAAGCACAGAAACCCTAAAAAAGGTCGGGTGTACCGTGGACACGGTACAGCTGGCAGTACGGTATAATTTGCGAGTTTTCGAGTTTCTGCACGGATGTTTAGAAAACTATCTCTCATATTATTGGCGGTAGATAACATGAGTAGACCGGAATACGTTGGAGAAAATAGATAAACCTATTACAAACTCCGTATAACTCGGAGATTATTCTGTTTTTTATTTTATTTTTTCTCGTGGCAATGGCGGGCGCCACTTTGCTTCACTCCCTGTCTCATTATCTTCTCCCTTCCCAGGCTCGCCCGCACTCTCTGATCTCGCACTGCTGGTTTCCTTTCCACCGTTTCTCGTCACCCAACTGTTTCTTTCATTCTTTAAGCCCTAATAAACTTCCACCACTCGCCGTTGGAGCGCAGGCTAGGCGAGGCTTATCTTCTAAAACCAGCAATGACGACCTTGCATCTCGTAACAGCCCTCTCTTTTGTATTCTAGAATTTATTTTTATTGACTAGTTGATCTATATATTTGTTTTGGAATTTTTTGGTTAGCTGCTGATTTGTGTTTTGAGCCCCCCCTGAAAGTGGTAGAATATCCAGACCCTATACTTCGAGCTAAAAATAAAACAATTAGCTCATTTGATGATAATCTGAAGAAGCTTGTAGATGAAATGTTCGATGTAATGTACAGGTGAGTTTTGTGTTCTTCCTTGTCAATCTGGAACAGAAACACAGACAGTAGCATTGTTTGGTGTGCATATCCACTCATGTATAGCTCTTGTTTCATACCCCTTTTTGCAGAACTGACGGAATTGGGCTGTCAGCACCCCAGGTTGGACTTAATGTTCAGCTCATGGTATTTAATCTAGTAGGTGAGCGTGGTGAAGGAGAGGAGATTGTTCTTGTAAATCCACGCATCACCAGATATTCCAGAAAAGTGGTGCAGTACAATGAAGGATGCTTGTCTTTTCCCGGGAGTTATGCTCTTGTAGAGGTATTATTGCGGTTACATAGAGATGTAGTTTTCTAGTCTTTTATACTATCGATGTCAAACTCATTGCTATGGGGACTTTAGGCAGTGCCAAGTGGCTGCTGTTTGAAAAGTCAAGTTCGAAATTGAGAGAGTTTACCACGATCATGTATTACCAATTAAGCCTTTCTCTTGATATGGTCATATGGTGGGACCCTTCCCTGGACCCTCGCCTTGTGGGTTGCCTTTGTGCACCGGGCTGCCATTTAGAGAAAGATCAGAACTTGCTAAACCTTTTCCCTCAGAGGTGGCTTGCCAGAAACATGAGAGGTTGACACAAGAGAAGTAAGAGCCGACTTATAGTCTTCATATAAGCTCTTGTAGCTTATAGGAAAGCAATGTGTTAGAATGATCAACGAATGCCAATACTTTAGCATCTCATATTGCAAGTAGATTAGTAATACTGCTAATACAAAATGATCCAAACTACCTCACTATTGTTAAGGGTTTCTCCTCACACTGATGAAGCTGGCTAGGGCTAATGATGGAGTGGATACTCCAGACATGACTGTCAACCAGATAGGTGAGCATGGTTGTACTTTCGCGAGAAACACATGCATCTTTGTTAGGCTCCACCTCGGGAAAAACTGACTTGGAAGACTCAGATACTGCTCAATATGTTTGTTGGATCCTCTGGGAGTGGACGGCTCCTTAATTTTGGCAACGACAGACTCTCTAGAGGTACTGTTGTAGCCATTACTTTGGGAAGTTTATCCATCATTCATTGTCATGCCATTGGTGTTTCTGTGGTCATGGACATCCATGGATATGATTTTTCTTGTCTTACGTATTGGGAAAAGAAGTATTGAAGGAAGAACGAAACAGACACTTTGGAGTACAAAATGAAATGGAAGAAGGGGAGAATAGATCAAGATGCTGACATGAGTGTGTAAGACACTAGGATTTAGGCTGACATGAAGAGGGAACAGATGATAGACTTTGACATAGACGACTCTAAGATGTAGGAACTAGGAAACATTGAGCACGGAGAGATTAAGATATGGTGGAGTCTAGAATGTAAAATAGAAATGATATGACGGGAATCATGTTGCCGAGAAATACACAACAGTTGCTTGGCACTGGTGTGTGCATAGTCCAACTGTTGAGCCTGGCCACTTGCATGAGCAATTCCACTTATTCCAGAGGAGAATTCATCTGTGGGACTCACTTAAGAGTCAAGCTTGATTACTCCCATTGAATCTTTGAAATGCTTATCACTCTAGCAAAGTGCGGGTCCAAAGATGGGATATACTGGGAGTCTGGGACTTGGGCATCACAAAGACCATCCTTTTATGCCCTGCACAAGAGCTTGTCCATGATTTCAGGAGCAAGTCCATTTAAGTATAGTTACAAGACTTACAACCAATTCTCGAAGAGTCAGGCCTATTAGTCCATACTATCTGCTCTCAACACGATGGGCCATCCCTATGGACACATAGTAGGACTATAAAAGTATAAAATATAAATATGCCTCAACAGGGTCATGGTATCATCTTGCAAACTTTGAGTATCTAAGGCAATATACTGCTTCTAGTACTACGGTACTACCGTCGCTAATACCTGGCCCTTGCTTTGAAATAACATACACCCCTTGAAAGAGAAGTGCTAATATTTATTTTTAACAACATGGAGGATATGCTATAATTGTTAAGTATATGTATATGCATTTAGCATCTTACATTCTTACCATTCTTTTTTTTTTTTTAAATTGGGGTGGGGGCCAGGGAACGCCCCACCAATTTATTAAGCTAAAATGAAATAAATGAGTAGGAGGGCCAAACCAAGCCTACATTCTTACCATTCTTTTCCAGAAGGATACTTAAAAAAATATACTCACTCACTTGTGATACTTCAGTGGCAACTTACATATTTAATGCATAATCTTCCAACTATAGGAGTATTTTACGTATGTCAGAAAAGGGTGGGGATGTAAGCAAAGGATGAAAAAGCATTTACCTTAACTTAAACCCCTCAAATATCTGCAATCAACTAGTAAAAATTACACAAGCAGCTTCACCTCTAGATACCTGAACTTGCTAAGTATGCTTAAGTGCTCTTCTAGAGTTTTAACTGTGACAGACTTGGTTAGCTATATTTTCACTTTTACAGAGACCAGATGCTGTGAAGGTTGATGCACATGATATAAATGGGGCAAGGTTTAAAGTTGGATTTATGAGGTTTTCTGCAAGGGTGTTCCAGCACGAATATGATCATTTACAGGTGCTTGTTTTAAAGACTTAAGAACTGTATTCTTGTTTGTACGGGTTTTTTCTCAACCATTCGGGCCAATCTTAAATGAGCTTATTTTCATAATCCTTCTAAAGAATTTAAATGATATTATTTTCATTGGCACTCCTTCCCTTCTTCTTTGTGTGGAAATTCCTTTTATGCTCTTTATTGAAATGTTTTTAATGGTTGAGAAGCAAGGGGTATATGATCATTTCACAAGAAACGGTTAAACAAATAAATAAAGACGATGCTTATCTTGTGACATCCAAAAAAGCTTCTGAAAGATATTAATGGGATGGAGGGAATACTATTCAACGTGGTATAAGGATGTTTTTACTTGGATTGTAATTTGCCGGTCTGGTCTGTTTAAGTCTGGTTTGATTTGAACGGGTTTGTTCTGGTAAACGCGTCTAGTCTCTGTGTATTTTCTAACTACGGAAATTAAGTCTGGTCTGGTCTGTTTAAGTTTGGTGTGAGACAGAAAACAGTCCAAGTAAAAACATCCTAAGGTCTTAGTTCCCAAGATTCATTTCCAAAAAAGAGCCATTTTGTATTTTATATTTTTATTATCAAAATCCATTTTTATCAGAAACCAATAATATATTGATAAGGAGACTTACACATGACACCTGGTATTCCCGCAGAAAAAAGAATATTTTCTCACTTTGCGATTCAATCACTTACGTTGGCTATTATTCATCAATGTGGGAAATGACGATACACGATAATAGAAACATAGATTTTGATTTATGTACTGTAGAGCTCTACAATGGGGAAAGCGGAGAAACACCCGTAAATATCCCCTACCCCTATTTTCAGCCTGCCAACTTCCAAGTGCAGTACACATAACACATGCCACTTCTCTAGCCTTCGCCACAAATATTGCACCCCCCTCTATTTGAATTTACCACATTGTGTCTTATTGTTTCCATTTGCTCCTTTATCCTACATTCCTACTCCAGGTCCTAAATCCCAATGCAATCCCAAACTCTCTTGGTGAAGACTCCTCATTGTCAGAGACTAAGAGGAAGAGTTTCATCCTCGACACAAGCCCTAGAGGCATTTGACATTGTCAAATCCTGTGCAATTATGTTTGAAACTGTCTGATATCTTCAGTGAAGTTAAACAAACCTCCATTTATACTATTCGCAAATTTAGGTGAAGTAGTAATTGGATAGTTATAACCAATTGCTACCAATATATGCTACTAATATAACTAGTATGTAATGAATTCCTTCTCACCTCTTCCAGTGAGTTATATGACTCCTATAGTCCAATCCTCTCTATACACTGAAGCCACAAAATTTGTCTTGAAGTTCCTCTTGATCATGCTATATAACAGCATAGTGCTTCTATGATTTCTATACCTTCTGTCTTAGGATTGACCTTTCAACCGCAACAAGGACCCTGGCTTTCCTCCTATATTTTCTGACTTTGGTTTTAGTTTTGAATTTTGATTGACACACTCTCTAGTTTAGATATCAGAATATACTATGCCTTCAACTCAAGATCAGTAGTTTTAACATTGTTAGATATGTGACCGAAGTTCTCCTTTTTTAGTTCAATGAGTAGTCCTTTCAATTTCCTTCTAGTCAGGTATTGCTTAGTTCCATAAAAATGCAATTCCAGTTCCTCTCTTACATGAATGGCCCATGGTTCTCCAAGTGTTGCCGCTGCATGTGAACATCAATTCCCAAAGAAGGCAAGTTGCAAGTGAACAAGTGCTTACTAGGTTAGGCTCAAAATGACAAGGTTTTTTACTTGATGGGGAGCGTTAAGACTTAAAAGTTCCACATCAGACTCTTAAACTAGAACATATAGGTTTATAAGATTGCGAGTTAAATGAGGTAATCGATTAGATTCCATCTTCTAGTTTGATGTCTTTATAATCAAGTTGAGTGGTCCCAGGCTCCCCAGCTTAATCCAGAATGGGCTTTTTCCTGAACTATTACTGAAATAGAACTTGTGGACTAAAACATGTTTATAATTATTATAAGTATACCATGTTGGTCATTCCAGTGTAAATTTCAACATTAACACAGTTGCTGCAGTCAGTACTCTGGTCACTGCACCACCTACTATGGTCAATATTGCATCCAGAATTTCATTCAATACTAAATTGGGTCTAACTTATCCTAAAGAATCTCAGGAGGTCTGGTGTACCTCACACTTATATATTTAAAGAGATTTAGAACCCAAAATCCGATGTAACAGGCTTAACAAATCCACATTTACCTCACGCATTTATACATATCAGGTGTACCTCATCACTTATATATTACAATACTCATAACGATTTATAAAACTTCTTACTTTTTAGTCCTGGGTACAATCTAGTCGAGCACCTGTCTATGACACAAAAATGTTACTTTGGATAATTGGATGTAGAGTTAGGTGAACGTTTAAATTACTATTCAGAATGCTTAGACTGCTCTTGACTATGTCCTATAAATAATTGCGCAGGGCATTCTTTTCTTTGATCGAATGTCTGATGAAGTCCTTGATAGTGTACAGGGAGACTTAGAGGTTGGTACAAAAGTTGGCCAGTTATATTATCTTTCTCTTTTATTTAAAATGGTATTCAAGATTGTTTTGGAACTTCTATGTGACATCATTACATCAACTTATATTTATAGCTACTCAAAGTACTTTGAAGACTACATGTCTTAGTAATGGTTGTGGTGTTAATAGGCTTTGGAGAAGAAATATGAGGACAGGACTGGGTTGCCTAGCCCAGAAAGGATAAGCACTCGCAAAAGAAGGAAGGCTGCGGTTGGATTTGGCAAATTATGAAGTAAACATGCGAGCACATTATATCATGTCCACGTTACCAAATCTGGAAATAGTTATAGAATGCATGTGGGTCCCATGTGAGTTTACCAAGTATCACATCACTCTATTTCCACATTTGATAATGTCTAAATGTGACACATTAAGATGCGACCAGGCGACCTTAGAAAAGACCCCGAACTTGTGACATGAGAACATACAAAGTTAAAGTATTAGAGTTTTTTTCCTTGATTAGCGCCCCCCACCTCTGAAGTATAATTTTCTTTTCTTGTTGAGCTACTGATTCTAGGCTGTTTATCTTTTTGTCAGTATAACTTATGAAACATTCTGGGTGTGTGTATGAATAGTCAAATGCCGAATAATTTTTAAACTGAAAATTAAGAAGTGTTACAACACGGTGTGCCTGCTAAAATTCCTTTTTCTGCAGATCATGTATGTTACTATTGATACTGCAATGAGAAACATTGAAGGATTTACACAAGATTCTTCTCTTACTGGCTCGTTCTATACAGAGGGGCCTGTAATAATTTCCACAAGCACCCCTATTTCAATGGTTACTCAATAAAGATGTAGTTTCTTTTTTATGCACATCATCTTTTAAACCAGAAAGTAAAGAACAAGTTATTCTTCATCATAATCATCAACTACTCTATATTTAAAGTACTCGCTTGAATAATTATTTTCATAAGAATAACTCGTGTACACTTTTCAATATAACATTCATTGATTAAAAGAGTAATCAATAGATTTATATTGTGATAATTATACACATGAATCTATGAATAATCTATCTATAAATAATACATTTCAAAGATACAATTAAGGAAAATCTTGCCACGTGTCATCTTCTAAGTAACTGACTCATCAAAATGTGCTATATTCACTTTCTAATTTCCTTCTTGTGTGATCCTTAAATTAGCTTTTTGAACTCTAATTCTTGAAAGCGCCTTGCGAATATCTACTGAAAAATCGGAGTTCCCACTTCCTATTCTCATGTGAAGGCTTTCTTCTCCAACGTTTGATGATGGAAAATCCAAAATGCACACCCAAATCTTATTCACCCAATTCCTCTCCATTAATGCCAGTTTTTATCTACTCAAATATTTCTGAATTGACTCTAAATTCCTGTTTTACCAATACTAGAGTTTGTATTATTTAGTATATACTGTTGTCTCTAATTAATAGTTAACTGAGAGGTGTTGTTCGATACCGTCTTCACAATGTATTTCTTTTTCATGCAACTTCTTTTGCAGGTTGACCTTTCCCCAGTTAGATACATCATTTGGGTTTGGGATTGCGGACTTGTGGTTCAGATTTCTATTATTTAGAACTTTCTCTCCGTTTTTAATGAGAAGTGTTGTTGGATTATTAACTATTTGTTCATTTATCTTTCATGTAAATTCATTTGCAGGTTATCTTTTCCATGGTTTAGCATCAAGGTTTGATTAAGAAAAACATGTGAGATTTTTCTTCAAGTTTTAGAAGGTTTTCAATTTTGCATTTTTACGTTATACGGAGTAGTTATTTTTACCAATAAACATGTTATTATTCCTTTTAGTTTTAGCAAATTCATGTCCACTACTATCAATCATTATGAAGCATATGCAGTGTACAGTATAGATTATTTCCTTCAAGTTAACATTAGGATACCCTGTCAAGTTACTTTAAAAATTGGTCTCAGGTGGACAAACTCTTCTGAAATATGGGTTCATCTGAAGGCACAGGTTAGGAGATGATGATATATCCTCTAAATGATTTGCACTAGACCCTCTCAGGGAGAATTCATCATTGTCAAAGAAGTATGACCAGGTTCTTGCAAAACCTGCTGTAATAACATCTGATGCCTTAGGACAGCCTATAGCATGAGATATAAAAAGTCTGATTGGGTTGATGTTATAAATCATTTATAACAATTTGATACAAATGATTTACGATCATTTAGATGATCTTCCTCATAATGTTATAAATGCGGTCTTAAACTTAAGCTCGAAGAACAGTTTGATAAGCATTTGATGGGCTGAAACAACAAGGCCAGTTCTGAAAATGTTGAAAAAGGCTTCTAGAAAATTGTATGCAAACTCAATAGGATGGGATGTCGGAAATACTAGCATCTTAACGAGATGTCCTGTCTTAGAATGTACTGAAGTGCAGATGGTCCCTGCGGATGGAAACCAGGCTTTATGCATCAAAGGTGTGTTGTCCATGCGATTAGTCAAACTCCATATTTGGGAAATCAGATGTCAAGAACTGGACCTAGCCTTCCTCCTTAAGGTCCTAATGTCCAATAGATCATGTTTTGAGTGTTTTTTTTTTCATGTTCTATCATGATATCATCTATGGGATCGGAGTTAGCATTAGAAATTTATTTATTTTTGGGGAAAAATTATGATAAGTAAAAAGTAAATCATATAACACTAAAAACATGATTTCCCCCCTAATTTAACAAATAAAAAAAATTGTTCAACAAACATTGTTGCATAGATCTAAAACATATGTGTTTTTTTTTTTTAAATTAGCGCGATCGAATACGCAAACAAATACAGGAAGCACTAAAGTGAAGAAAATCAAATACATGTCCCTGTTTTTCAATTTTTGAGAAAAAAAGATAATGGAAAACATGACAAAAATGTTTTTTTCGTCTTAAGAAGGAAATCAGAAACGTGTATTATGTTTTTCAATTTTTGAGAATAAAAAGGCAAACACATTTTCCTGTGTTCCTTCCAATTTTCCAATTTTTTGGGTTATGAGAAAATTTTCTTGTTAGTACTGTAGTACTTAGTACATGTCCTAAGATTGTCCACCTACTCGAAGTGTACACAATTATCTTCTTCTTTAAAGTGGACGCCATAGTTTTTCACTTTTCGCATTTGACCCCTCTCTACTGGTGACTGGTGGAATCATCATGGAAAAAAGCTCCAACTTGCTATTGATGAAGTAGACATTTACCTTATTGTTTTGCCAATTCTGGCCAAGGGGCCCCTTTACGAGTTTTAGGAATGAAAACGGCGTACCTTCGAAGTATATACTCTCTCACTCCTATATTTAAGGAGTGATTTAACTTGACGCAAATATTTTAAAAGTCGTTGAGAGATTAAAAAAAAATTGTTGTAGGAAGTAAATACCTTGTTGTTCAATGATATTACTATTACATTATGACTGTGACACATCAAAAGAGGAGGTTATAAGAGCATCTCCAATGACTGCTTATAAGCTCTAAGGTCTTGCTTGCAATTTCGAACCTATTAGCCTACCATTTAGTCATGGACCCGGGCCGGTTCCGGTTCAGGTCTGGGCCCGGCCGGGCTTTTTTTTGGGAAGGAAGAATCAGAACCGGCCCGGGTAGGCAGCGGTTTTGGGCCGGTTCATGTTATTTTTTTAATTTTCTTTTGCTTTTCTAATTAACCCCGACCCCCCCCAACCCCCCCCCCCCCCCCCAAAAAAAAACACCCAGACCAACCCGGGAGAAACCAAAAAAATTGAAAAAAAAAAGAAATAGGCCGGGCCGGTTCCGGGCTGGTTCCACTTTAAGGAGGCCCGAGCCCGTCCCGTTTAACTCCCGGTTCGGGTGGCCCGGATCGGTCCTTTGACCGGGTACCGGGACGGGCCGAAACAGTACCGGTTCCGGCCTATTTCTCCTTGTTTTGTATAAGTTGAATTATAGTATTATAGGGTGTATTTTATTCAACTCTATTTATAAGTTTTCCTAATACTAATGTTATTAATTAGAAATGTAGAAATAATTTTGTTTATAACTGTATAATGTAACATAAGAAAACCATGTGTTATAAGTTATTGATTTCAATATATAAGTTCTGCTTTAGTGTTTATTAGTTTGAAACCAACTACACAAGTTAACCAAGCATAACAAAAGCATATGGAGTAGGCTATTGAATTACATGTATAATTAAATTTACAGTGTTTATTCGTGTAAACTCATATTTTATTCTGATTTTTAAAGAAATATAAAATAAAAAGAAATATGCTATAAGTTATAGCTAACCATTGAATTATATTTCAATTTGGCTACGAATGTTTATGTGACTAGTCAAGATGTAAGAACAATTAGCTAACCGCTGGATATATTGTAAATTCACAACTAATCATAATATTTAATAGAACAAATGCTATAATATGCAAGAAAATATAGTAAAAGAAGTTATTGAGAGAAAAAAATAAATAACAAATTAGTCACCATAATACCATATAAAGAAAGGAGTATCGGAAATGAGTATTGAAACGAATGAAGTGTAAAATTATAAGCTACTCTTATTATATACGGAGTAATTAATACGCAATATTATTATATACTTCCATTGTTCTATCAGACTTTGTCAACTTTCCTTTTTGTTTATTCCAAATACTTAAACACTTTTTTATTTAAAACAATGAATTTGTGGCTATGTTCATATTAATCTTATCTACACAAACCTCAAGCATGCATTTTGAAGTTGAAGTGTATTGTCCTATTTAAAGGTTATTGTGTGGAATTATATATATTGGATAGAAGTTGTTGGAATTGATGAAATGCTAGGGAAGTATGCTTTTTTGGCTACAAAATTGAGATAATGATTGAAACAGTAAAACTATCATAAAACAAATATTTTAATAGAAACAAAGAATATGATAAATTTTAAAGTTGATACGGAGTATAAGTTATGCATAAATTCAAGCGTTATATTGATACAGTTCAAACTCCTTGTCTAAGCAAAACTATACTCCCTCCCTCCGTCCCCTTTTAAATATCCCGGAAGAGGGTGACACGAGTTTTAAGAAAAGTGAGTTTGTGTGGTTGATATTAATTGATAAAGTAAGAATAAAGTAAGAATGATTTTGAGCCACACAAATTTTACCAAATAAGGTATGAAGCAATTAAATAGACACATCCCAATATGGTAAAACGGGACATTTAAAAGGGGACAGAGGGAGTATATATGTAAATTAGCTTTTTTTTGAGAAAATGTAAATTAGTTGTCTAAATAGATTAAATTTCAAATTATTTGGAACTGAAGTGATACTCCAAACATAATTATATCGACCCAAAAAAGATTCAATGCCGAAAATCCAAAATGGTCGGTTTTTGCACTCGAAACTCCATCTCGTATAAATAATAATGATATAAACTCTCTTAAACTTTTTATTAGCTATTTCATCGATGCTGTTATATTGACTATCTTACTCGAGTATCAGAATACAAATGTCAATTCAATTGAATTTATTTTGGAATTAATTAAATATAGAAACATGCCATATGAGAGTTCTAGTCTAATAAATAATAGTGTGATGTGACTTAAAATCGACCATTAACATTTTAAGGATAAGCCCTTGTGACTATGTGAATGCCTTCAATTGGGTTTGGTGTGCAAATCTTTTTGTTGTTGTTGGACAGTGAAAAGGGAAATGAAGTATTGAATCGTCAAAGTGCCAACTAAAACTCAATCAATAAAGAAAAGCTAAAAATCAAAATGAGTAGTTTAGTATAAAAAATGGAGGGTATAATAATCTAATACCCCCCACACTTATAAATACATAATCCTGTATCTCCCTAGAATTCCCGCTCATCTCTCCTAATTGTTAATTATTTTTAAATGGAACATTAATAGAATAAAAAGAAATTTTTTAATATAATCCAATTATCCAAATACTAATGGAGTAATACCACAGACTAAATGGAGTATGTAATATATGCAAGACATAATGAAATAGGATCACAAAAACATTTTATATATTTTATAGTACTCCATTCGTCCCCAAATTAACTTTCACACTTACTTTTTGGGATGTCTCAAAATTAACTTCCTACTGTACTTTATTTCTACTTTTGGTAATATTTCACTTTAATAATACCCATTTACCCTTTACTTTTACTATCTACTTACCTCCATTAATTACTTTGGACCACTACTTTTAAGGGCACTCTTGAAAAGTCAAAATTTATTTTTTTCCTACCTAAAAACTCGTGAAGTCAAACACGGAAGTTAATCGGAGGGAGTAGATTAAGAAACTTATAAGTGAAACAAGCAAAAATAAAGGATAAAAAGAATGGAACAAATTGAGTAGACTTCCAGAGAAGTATTAAACATAAAAGCATGATACAAACCCGCATGGATAACTCAGTTGATTGAGTGGTGGGAAAGTTGAAACATTGACCATAGATCGCACATTACAAATTATTTGAAATCCTTGAGTGCTAAAAGAATATTTCCTTAATTAAAATCATTTGAATTACACCATTTATCTTTAAATTATATTATGGCTATTAATTAAGTCTTGGATATCAAGTATTTTAAATCCTTGGGTGCTTAACGAAAAAGTAGCATGCCGATCAGATCAACGTCACTAAAGTGTAATATGATTGTATATTTTTGTGTGTGCTAAATGAGATGGTTATGATATATTGATATGAGAATGACGCATGCTACTAATATATAGCTAGCACAATATAGAGCTTAGAGATCATGGATCAACTGATCAAGATGGGTAGAGGATTAATTATGTGGCAACATATACCTAACTAAGAACACACAAAACGGACATGTGGAAAAACATATATAATGATTATTTATGGAAAATTCAATCTTAGCTTTCTTTATATTACACATCCCAAATCAGTCGTGGCTTTACATGTATGAAGTTCGACGTAAGCCTAACTCTACAACATTGCTTTAAAGAAAGTTTCTATAAAATCTCCCTTAATTATCATATTTCCCATCATATTAATCAATCCAAGACTTATCATAGTTATAAAGATCTAAAAAAACTTTAAAGTAACATTGATCAATTACACTTAAATGTTGAAAAGATCTAAAGGAAAGACGGTAATAAGATTTATGAATTAGGATGTATGGTCTTTAATTATTTTAAATTGCAAAAAGAAAGAAAATAAATGATCAAGCCAATGCTCACATCCCACATGAGATAATTACAAAACCATACGTAGAGAGTGTTTTCTAGCTAATTCATAAAACAGTTCCTTTTTGAAATCAAATGATATTATGATCTTCTTATACTACTTTTCCATTGGCCTCGATAGGTTGGTCATATTAATTACATTTTGATAACATATGTGTGTATATTATGTGTACACATATTGTGTAATGTTTTGAAATTTATCAAGGGAAATATCATTCATAAAATTAATCATTTATAGGCAAGTAACATACCGGGGTGTTTGGTAAAGGGTCTATCAGCCATTTTTTGGCTGATTTGACTATAGTTACCTTTTTGACCAGATCAATCAGCCAATAAAACTGTTTGGTTAAATGGATTTTTCAAATGGCGTTTTGCCCACAAACAGTCAATATTTGAGACGCCATCAAACGTAGCGTTTAGGATTGGCTTTTGAGTATTGTTGG